CATTGAGCTTGACTCTGCGCAAGCTACAGAAAAGAAGAAAGCATTGTCAATAAATCATAAACTGCTAAGAGCCATCTATATGAGTTATTTAAATCCGCATTATGTTCAATTAATTTACCTGACATTCTAACAAAGCTTTCCTGAAACAAGTCTGTCCCTCTTCCACTTCCTCTCCCTCCTCCTCTCACTCTCCCTCTCACAGCAGCCAATGGTCTTCCTCTTCCTCCAACAGCAGAAGAACCATCACTCTTCCTCTAACAGTAGAAGAACCAGCAGATTCTGCTTGTTGGGTTGACAATGTAGGACAAAATCGTTTGTTATGTCCATTTCCCTTGCATAATTGACATGTCATAATTCTTCCTTTTTAGACAACTTTCTAACTCTTCACTCATTTTTTGCTTGTTTTTTTTTTTCATTTTCTTCAAGCTTTCTTTTTTTTTTTTTTTCTTTGGCCTACCAGTCATCTTCGTTGGAATAGGAGCAAGTATTTCATCACCTTCAGTCCTTGGCCAAAAGATTTCCCCATTCAATGACTAGTAAAACTTAATTAGAAGAAAACATTATATTCCAGTTTTGTATTAATTAATTAATAAACTAATGGTCTAATAGCTAATTTCATATATGAATGCAGAACTGTAAACACGTATTCTTTTCCACTTTTCTAACACTTTGTCCCTATCTTTTCAAATCAAAGAAGCTTAGTAGGACCTATTGTATCAAAAGCATACACATTTGTATTCACAGTAACTGTACATCAACATTATATTATTCACAGCTTTGCGCATAATATATGTGATGTGTATAAATTTTTCCCTTTTCTGTGATATATATATATATATATATATATATATATATATATATATATATAATGCAAAGAAAAGAAAAAGAATGTACGCATCATATATATTATAGTGTGCAGCAACAGTACACACACACACACACACACTCACACACACACACACACACACACACACACACACACACACATATATATATATATATATATATATATATATATATATTATTCACACAAAGATATAGAAATATTATATAACAGAAAAGTATAGAAACATACATGTTAACGCAGCTAGCGCGCTTCGTCACTTTCAACCTGCCGTCACCTTCAGCCTTCCGTCACCTTCAGCCTAGAAACATACCCACTAAATCAACTTAACATGGATTTTCCACGCCTGGGTCATCCTCGTTTGAATGCTACGTCTTTGGTTGAGCGTGGTTTCATATACGATTTGGGGGGAAACTGGCGCCATGTCAGCAGGAAGATAGGGAAACCTACTAAAAGTTCTAGATGAATTTTTCTTTTTGGTTTGTGGCTTGATATATGTTAGGAATATATGTATTAGGATTTTGATGATACCAATGTAACTTAGATTGTAGACCCCTAATTTTTTGTCATATCTGTTGCTACCTTCTTTCTAGACGAAAGGTACCATAACTCACTGTGTAATTCTTGTTAAGGTAGTTAAACACACAAAATCGAGTTATGATCTTTTAGTTAGGTTTCTTTGAACGAAAGAAGAGCGGATGATTGAAGCAAAGCTACATCTTGGACAGACCACGAATGGATAGATGATCCTTTACCGCCGTGAACAGAAACCGAAAGTAATCTTTCGTCCAGAGACATTATTTCTAACGACCAGACTGCCAAGACAATCCATCTTCTCTCAACTCAAGAAGAATGTTGTGTCTCAGCTGATGGATCATCCTAGGAATAAGTTATCCTAAGAATGAAGAGCACACTAATCAAGGTGCATTAAATGTCATTGTACCTCTTTTCAGAGCTAGAAGACAAAACTTGCAGAAGTTCTTGCCTCCAACGACTATATGGCACAACTGCATTTAATGAAGCATTAAATGTACCAGGCTCTCCGGTTATTACCCACTGGTTCATAAGTTTGAAATATCATCCCTCCAACGGATGGATATTTTCTCTATTATAAATACCCATCTTCTCCATGATAGAAGTTGCTGGTTTTTATCTCAACTGATCATACATATTCAAAAGCTCCTTATACAAGTTCACTCTCTTAAGCTTTTGAAAACTAGTGTTTCAAGGTGTGAAGTTTACAATAAGAATTATCAGATTTCATCCTCACAACCTTGAAGAAGTCTTGCAACTTATATACGTTGATCATCCATCATTCAACTAGTTAGTCAAGACTTCAACCCGTTGGAGAACCTCGCAGATATTTTCTTCCAACCCTCAGCTCTAAAGAAGATGTTGATAGAGGCGGAGTAAACTCTAGGAGTTGAAAAACCTTCAATTAGCTGTCCGGCTTAGTGATCAAGGAAGCTAGCTTGGTGTTATTTGTACTAGGAGTGATAGTGCAAACCTTTCACAAGTTGTGAAAGAAGAGTGGAGTAGGCACAGTTGGCCGAACCACTATAAAAATCTCTCATCTCTTCTCTTTATTTTTTCCTTGCTTTACTTTCGTGCATTGCATATCATACAATCTCAACCGAAAGTTTCATAAAGCAACAAACTGTGCAAAGCAATATAAAACTCGTTAGCATATCCGCTGCGTAATAACCCTGAAAGGAGTTATTTCTGTGAACATCGAGTTGAGTCTATTCACCCCCCACCCCCTTCTAGACTCTCCTTTCGAACCTACCGGGACAAACAATATATATGATGTGAAAGTTCGGGATGAATAATCGATTATGGTTCATGGTGCTAGATGACACATTAGCCTTTACACTTTATTTCTATGATCACTTCTTTGTATCAATTCTGACATTATGTCTTGGGTTGGATACTAGTTTTCCTGTGATTCATTTTTACTTAATATTCTTTGTCATTTTATTAATGCTTGTTGAACTCGAATTATCATTCCATTCTTTATTTAAATTTTGGAATAAAATTAAATCGAACTAATCTCTGTGGATACGACCTTACTCAGTAAATTATTATTTGTTGGATTCGACACCCACCATATATAATGCACTTTGCATCTTTCTGAAACGGAACAATAGATAAGTGTCTTCTAAACCGTACCCCACCGGTCTTCAGTTCACCCAATCCCATTTAAACATCCCACTCATCCTGGTCTAACGTACAACTACACCGTACTTTAATCGTTAGGAACAATAACCCCAGGATCGGAATCAGCGTGTGAAAGTAAAATCAGAAGCAACATACTTGGGTTAACGAGTGATCACGGTCGTCGGAGACGGTGAATCACCAGAAGCGTTATTCAAAATCCAAAGGATATCAAGATTCGAATTACTGATCGAGTTTCGCAATTGGAAACGTAATATCAGAATGAATAGAAGGCAATTATTATTCATTGCAATCACCAGTAACTTAACCCATTAATTGATTTTAAAAGAAAATGGTGTATTAGGAGTTTTAATTGTACGTGAATTGAACTATCTCATCACAATATATCAAAAACTCAGATTGGTACATATGTTCGCATACTAGGATTTTAAAAATGTGAATTCATCTCAGCCGTTTAAAAGACTTCATAGGGTTTTAGTAAAAAAATACGGGTAAATTTTATAATTATTGAAAATTTGAATTTTTTGTAGGGGGGGTGTGGGAAAATTTTTTTGGTGACACTGGAGAGGAGACCAAATATTTTTATATAAAATACTCGTGACTTTTTAAAAAAATAAGATTTGACCCACTCGATCACATTTTAGTTAACCATCAGTGTCCAATTGAAGCACTTAAACTTTTTAATACACTAATGTTAATTAATATATATGAGTAAATACCACCTATGGTCCCTCGAGTTTGGTGGCATCGCCATCAATGGTCCCTAACTTCTGTAATTACCACCCGTCATCCTCCGAGTTGTGAAAAGTTACGTTCTAGCGTCCTTACGTTACTTCCTCCCGTCTCAGCCGTCAAAATGGAGGGTAATATTGTCATTTGACTTATACGAAAAGAGTTAATACCAGCCAAGGTCCCTCGAGTTTGGTGGTTTGGCCATCTTTAGTCCCAAGTTTGGGTGCTCAAGGATGGAATTGAATATCTTAGCAAGATTCTGTTGTCAAACCAATGTCCCTCGAGTTTAGGCACGACCTCTCAAATCGACCGCCTCCTCTGTCCACCTACGCCTCTTCATTTCCTCCGCGACTATGTTTCCCCCAACAAGCCATGCCTCATCTCCTCCGCCATTAACCACTGGCCGGCCACCGCTCTCTGGCACTCTACCTAGTACCTCCTCGACGCCCTCTCCTCCTCCACCGTTTCCCTCCACCTTACCCCAACCGTCCGAGCTGACTCCGTTACCTCCCTTCCTACCTCCCATTCTTCCCTCTGCTTCGCCTCAACACATGTCGAGCAGCTCTCTTTCCCTGACGCAGTTGACTCTGTTGCATCCGTGTGCACGCAGATGCACAACATAATTTGCCCCGTTTAATATTTTTGTCCTTTCTTTTATCTTTTTTTCCCTTATAAGCTTTTTACGTACGTAGACACGAGCGAAACTTCTTCCGAGCTTCTTCTGTGAACGTAGCGATGGCATTGGCAATGGGAACTCCGTTCGTGGTCTGCTGCGATGAATGACTCCATGGGCGAACGACTTATGCGGCTGCTTCGAACTGCTAGTCTGCTACCACAAACGGGCAAAATCAACTGGAGCTTATTTTCTTTGGTGCGTAGGATTTAGAAAATAAATATTACTTATTTTCTAGGTTTTATGTGGTTGAAGAAATTGATTAAATTTGAGGATGTTAGGGAAATTAGGATTATTTTTAGCTGATGAGGGTGCTGAAATTAGTATAAATAGGCCTGAATTATTCAATAGAGGACAGTCAGTACATTTTATTATGATGTGTTGTTAAGTTTATTTCCAACTCAAGAATAATTGAAGTTTTGGTTCTTTTAGAATTGTGATATCTATTTTGATTTTCTTTTATGCTACACTATTTATATGCCTTCTATTATCTTGATATTACTGCTTTGATTAATTGTACAAAAAAGGATCCGTTGTTCAATTTTCAATCCAGTAAATTGCCATTTCGAATTCTTAAATCCGAAATTGTTTCAGTGTTCTAAACCTTAGTCGTAAAATAACATAGTTGATTATGAAAGAGATTTTCAATCTTATGTTATGGAGATGTATAGTCTAGTTTAAATGGACTGAGCTTGCGAGTCTGTTGGCTAGAATTGGTAGTCTTTCTAATTCTTAATGCTGATAGTTAATTAAATCCTCAGGGCTTATTTAGGGTTGTTAATTAGCTAGAGAAGTAATTGAAGAGCCTGTTTTGATTACCGATAAAGTAAGGAGAGATATGTTGTTAGATCGAGCTTGTTAATAACAATTACCAATTTGGTGTAATTTGGTGTAGGATAAAATAATTTACACTTGGCTAAAGTGTCATCTAGCATCATGAACCATATTTAATTATTCATCCCACACCATGAACATTCATATCGTATATATCAAGCCACAAATCAAGAAAAAAAAAATCACCTAGAACTTTTAGCAGGTTATCATATCTTCCTGCTGACATGGCGCCTGATGTGGCATTTCTCTTTACCTTATGTTGTCCATGTAAGCATTTACATATTTAAAATTTTAAAAACAATAATTATTATATTAAAAAACTATAATTTTCTTCTCTTTATTTTCATAATTTATACTTTTTCAAATTTTCAATTCCAATGTTTAAATTTTCTTTTGTTTTTTGGAGAATTTATGTTTTTTGGCTAATTTTTTGTTTAGTATTTTTCTAGTTTTCCCAATTTATAGAAATGCTAATTTTTTTTGTTTAGTATTTTCCCACATAAATATATCCATCAGCACTTTGAACAATAGTTATGTTGTGCAACCGAATGCACCATGCATGGTGCATACGATGCAAAACAACGTCGTCTTGACTAAAAACGCGCGTCCCACTTAAAAAAATTCAGGTTCGATTCTCGGCAATAGCATTATTGTGGATATATAGTTATGAATTTCTGGATATATAGTTATGAATTTATGGATATTTAGTTCATTCATTGTGGATATTTAGTTCAATCATTGTGGATATTTAGTTCATTCATTGTAGATATTTACTTCATTCATTCACTGTGAATATATAGTAATGAATATATGGATATATAGTTATGAATTTCTGGATATATAGTTATAATTTATGGATTTTTAGTTCATTCATTGTGGATATTTAGTTCAATCATTGGGGATATTTAGTGCATTCATTGTGGATATTTAGTTCATTCATTGTGGATTTTTACTTCATTCATTCACTGTGGATATATAGTTATGAATTTATGGATATATAGTTATGAATTAATGGATATATAAAAATGCTATTGCCGGGAATCGAACCTGAATTCTTTTTTTAAGTAAGACGCGCATTTTTTAACCAAAACGACATCGTTTTTGTATCCTTATACACCATGCACGGTGCATACGGATGCACAATATAATTTGCGAGGGCCATTTGAATGTATATTGCTTACTCATCCACATAAAACCATTTAGATGGTCAACAACTAAACCAAGTGAAATTAAAAAAAAAAAATGAAATGAAGTTACTAATATAAACTGTAAAAAATATATATATTGCGAAGAACAAAACAAAATAAACTCCCAATTCAAAATCTATTAGCTAGTTAAAAAACAAAATCATACATATATAGTAGCTATAAACACCAGCTAGTTAAAAAAAAAAACAAAAAAAAAATAAAGAGAAAAAAAAAAAAAGTGACTCCATTAATCTTCATTTGCCTTCATGGTCCCATTGAGCTTCACTCTGCGCAAGCTACAGAAAAGAAGAAAGCATTGTCAATTAATCATAAACTGCTAAGAGCCATCTACATGAGTTATTTAAATCCGCATTATGTTCAATTAATTTACCTGACATTCTAACAAAGCTTTCCTGAAACAAGTCTGTCCCTCTTCCACTTCCTCTCCCTCCTCCTCTCGCTCTCCCTCTCACAGCAGCCGATGGTCTTCCTCTTCCTCCAACAGTAGAAGAACCATCACTCTTCCTCTAACAGTAGAAGAACCAGCAGATTCTGCTTGTTGGGTTGACAATGTAGGACAAAATCGTTTGTTATGTCCATTTCCCTTGCATAATTGACATGTCATAATTCTTCATTTTTTAGACAACTTTCTAACTCTTCACTCATTTTTTGCTTTGTTTTTTTCATTTTCTTCAAGTTTTTTTTTTTTTTTTTTTTTTTTCGCCTACCCGTCATCTTCCTTGGAACAGGAGCAAGTATTTCATCACCTTCAGTCCTTGGCCAAAAGATTTCCCCATTCAATGACTAGTAAAACTTAATTAGAAGAAAACATTATATTCCAGTTTTGTATTAATTAATTAATAAACTAATGGTCTAATAGCTAATTTCATATATGAATGCAGAACTGTAAACACTTTTAATTTATGTATTCTTTTCCACTTTTCTAACACTATGTCCCTATCTTTTCAAATCAAAGAAGCTTAGTAGGACCTATGGTATCAAAAGTATACACATTTGTATTCACAGCAACGGTACATCAACATTATATTATTCACAGCTTTGCGCATAATATATGTGATGTGTATAAATTTTTCTCTTTTCTGTGAATAATATATATATATATATATATATATATATATATATATATATATATATATATATATATATATATATATATATATATATAGGGAAGGGATCAAGTGCATTTGTGGCTTCCCGTGCGGATGTGCGGTGGATTAATGTGCGTGAGGTTTATACTTGATGTGCTTGAGATTTGTACTCAATGTGTCTGAGATTTGTACTTAATGTGCGTCATGTTAATATGCGTGAGTTTTGTACTTAATGTGCCTAAGTATTGTGTTTAATGTGCGTGAGATTTGTGCTTAATGTGCGTGAGTATTTCAGAATTACGAGCTCAGAAGGAAGCGGAACAGAAACTCACGCACATTAACGCCCAAGCTTCTTGTTACTTTTTCCTTCAATTTGGCCATGGATTCTGGATTATCAGCTACCATGGTGTGGGATTTTTTTTTTTTTTTTTTTTTGGTGACACTGGGAGAGGAGACAAAATATTTTTATATAAAATACTCATAACTTTTTTAAAAAATAAGATTTGACCCACTCGATCTCATTTTAGTTAACCATCAATGTCGAATTGAAGCACTTAAACTTTTTAATACACTAATGTTAATTAATATATATTCACACACATACTTTTGAAGTTAATATTTTTTAAAATAAGATTTGAACCAATAATCTCAAAATTAAAAATTAACAATATTTTTTACTAAATTAGAAATTTCTAAAAGACTTGTAATATTAAAGTTTTATAAAACACTTGCAATATCATTTGAACTTGATTTTTTATATCACTAAATTATATTAGATCAATTTATTTAAGTGAGTCGTTTGAGCGGCGGTGAGGTCTGAGGTCTGAGGTCTTGAGCAAAAGGAAATGGCGGAAGAAATTTGTTTTTGTTTTGTGTCCTTAAGTGTTAACGAAAATAATAGAGAGGGAATTTATTTTTTGAGAGGGAAGGAGATTATTTTTTACAGAGTGTGCCAGGGAATTTATTTTCATGGTTGAAATTATGCACTTGTTCACACGTTAGATGTGGACACTCCTTGTAACATCCCCAATTTTACCAACATTTTTAAAACTTAAATTTAAAGATAAGCAAGCTAAATATTAAATGAACATACCAAGACTATGTGGTCCAATGCTACCCAGGTTGGACTTCCATTAGGAAGGTTGTGAATTCAGAGCTAGTAGCATTCAAAAAAAAAAAACATTAAATGAACATAAAACGGAAGTTATTAGAAACCGAGAAAGGTGTTATGTCACACCCATAGAACTATGGGTGCACACGCTAAATCTATCACAATCATCAAACATAACATAAGACTAGGCATACAGGCCATTAGTCTAGGCACACAGGCCACCAAAAGCACATTATCTAAGCACAGGACTTAGGCTTGAATGAAGAATGAATGAAATGTCTTGCAAGGGATAGCTTGAACAACAATTCATGGGTGAAAGGTCACTGTTACCCTTACAAAGGTTGGAAAAACAAAGGGGAAAGGGCACAAACCATAAAGCACAAGGTACACTTGATTGACTTAAGTGACTAGTCAAATTTTAGTCCCTCGACAATTAAAATTTCAGGATTTTTAGAAATGGATTACCAAAGAAAGCTTGGATTAATTCTTCAATTACTCCCAATTAGTATTTAGATTTACGGGGTGTCACATCCTCTCCCCATAACAAGAAGCTTCGTCCTCGAAGCATGGGCACGACGGATTTACCAAAAAGATAGCTTCGAATCAAAGATG